AAAAAATAGGGTTGTGTGGACACAAAGGGACACACCAGTCATTCTTCGCTGTATTATTTTTTTTTTCGTAACAGCCAGCGCTTGCCGTTCGTCTTTCGCATTCGTACATTAGTACCTTCAGAACAGTGACATTAATGAGACGGACACGGCTCTTCCTATTCACAACTCTGAGCACATCAAAGATGCTGTGAAATTTGCCACAAGCATGCAAGCACTTTGTATCACCTTCGTCTCCGACGCAATAATTTTAGGCTCACTTTATTATTCATGCGTTGAACTTCTTTGTGAATGACTTGTTGTTAGCGTTTGCCACCACTCAGGCTTCATATGAATGCTTTCTCGTCTCATAAGGTGTGAAGCAGGGAGAGAGTTTTTACTTGACTGCTTCTTTCCATCGACGCAATATCTGTTAGCTTGTCTTATTTATACTGTTTCTTACATAAATGCGTGCAGTTGAATTTTTCCGTCCCCGCGACGATAATTCCCAGTGCACGGCTTCAGTTACTTCCATAAAGTGCTTTCTGTCTCAAAAAATCACTTTTTCTTTGGGAAATTTTTGAAAGATAGTTTGAAATTTTTCAGTTAAGCATCCACTCTTGCTCTGGTTCCAATCCTTTACACCCATTTTAAAAAAAAGCAGTGTATCCGTTAATATTCCCAGAAGTTTTGTAGGCAGATATGCTAATAGATTCAGTATGCGTTATTCGTTAGTTAAGTGAAGGCTTTGTTTGACAGATAAAACTTTGCTTGTTTATCACGGGGTTAACCTGTTTGGCCTTCAAAAACTGTTTGCATGTACGACCATAGGTGCTGTTTGAGTACTGTCTAAATTAAGGGTAGCTTAGCACTTGCTCTGTCGCGACTCTAATTGTTATTTTATTTAGACTAGTGAGTACCGCGTGGGTAGGTGCGTGTGTGTGTGTGTGTGTGTATGTATATGTATATATAACACGCCGCGTCCTATATACACGTTTATTATACATAGTAGTGTGAAAAGGCAAGATACAAAAAGTAGGTGAGGCTCTGGGGAGCCGAAGCTCCCCAGAATAGGAATA